CTGAAGCCGTATCGACATGAAAGCATGCCTGTTTGACTCTCATGGGGTCCCCTAAAGAATTGTAGGGTTGTATCTTTGGCAATGGTACTTTGTGCTAGAAATCACTATCTCTTTATACAGAAATATCAGGACTGATTTCCCACAAGCCGCTGCTCCGCCCTCACTCTTCCCTTTCCCCCGATTGTATTCATCAGTTTCCCACTATTTGCTCCGCGGCTGCATTTTGACCTGCAGCTTCACCCGATTTCAGAAAACAGGATCAAGTAGACACGGGGGAAATCGGGCGAAGCTGCGGGGTAAAATGCATCCATGCAGCAAATAGTGGGAAATTGACACATACAATGGGGGGGGAGGGAAGAGCAAGGGCGGAGCAGTGGCTTGTGGGAAATCAGTCCAAGACTCTCTTCAGAGAAGGAAGGGTGGTTAAACCAGTTTAAATCTGTGGTGTAGATTCGCCCTTAGGGTCCAAAAGTATTTACAGGTAATTCCAATACATATTAGGCATGCAAATGACATAAAACCCCACCAAATGAATGGATACTACTCAGGACCTTCCCTTACCCTTCTGCAGCAACACAGAGCCCACTGTCAATGCTAATTTATCCTGGTGGGGTGCCAGGTACAGTTGGCAAACCTAGCAGAGGGGCTTGATCGCCAACAGGTGTTGCTCTATGACCCATCTGAAGGTTCCCAATCCATGAGATGAAGACCACTACTCTAGTCTATTTATGGAGAGTAAACCAATGCCAACAGTAAGTGCTTCAAAGAACAGTTGGGTTTTATACCCCCCTTTTCTCTACCTTAAGGAGTCTCGAAGTGGCTTACAATTGCCTTCCCTTCCTCTCCCCACTTTGTTCTGAGAGTTCTGAGAGAGCTGTGACTGACCCATGGTCACCCAGCAGGCTTCAGCTGTGGTCACATGGCAAGTTTACTGAGATTGGTTCCCACTGTATATTTGATCGGGGGTATTTATTTGTGGGTTGGGATGATCATACATCCCTCCCCAAACTGCTTTCATCATGCAACAAGGCTCCATGGACTGTCCAGATAGCTGTGCTGCCCAAGCGGTGGCGCGGAGCAAGATTTTTGTTTGTTTGTTTTCCTTGTGTATGCACATATGCACATAGACAAACCACCGTTCACGCGTTGGATGTATGCAGCACTGGATCAGTCATGCGCACAACGGCAGAACTCTAAAAAAAAAAAGTGCAATAAGGACATTCAGATCGGCTTCGATAGAGAGAATTGGTGGTCCAGACAGGCAGAATTGCGGGTTCACACCACAAGAATCCATTAAGTACTTGATTTTCGGGTGCTGGAAAAAGCACCACCAAATGGGGTTGATTGCGGGAAGAAGTGGGTTGCAAGACAGGAGGCAGAGATGCCCGTCTTATCAGCCCTTTTAAATCCGATAGGGAACAGGAGTGAAACCCGCTCAAAATGACTATGTGACCACGACCTTCATGGGGAGGAGGAATGGGGAAGCGAACCTGGCTCTCCAGATTAGAGTCTGCCACCCTAATGTGTTTCCCTTTCTTTTCTTTTTTTAGCAGTGTGCTTCCTGTACAAGTGTTTTTTTGCTAAAGCATCAGATCAGAAGTAGAAGTTCCCAAAGCTAATTAATCTGGAATATGGAGCACAACATTGGGCCCAAAACTGAGAGACGGAAACTGGCACCGCTCAGCTGAGGCAGAGGCATTGTCAGAGCTGGCATCAGCAGTCTAGGAGGAGGGCAGATACCAAGGCCTGAGGGCTCCAGAGGTGCCCACACATGGATAAACTTAATGCCCCTCCTATGAGATAATTATATTAACTTTGCTGCAGGCAGAGTGCCAGTTTTACCACTTAGTGCGATTAATCACTTGGGAAAGCCCATCAGAGGCAGGCGAGTGTCTGTTAAGCTCTTCCTCCTGGGGCTAGCCTTACAAACACCAAACCGGAGGACACGGCCAGTCTGATAATAGGCATGTTTACTCATAAGTAAGTCCCACTGGGTTTCATGAGGCTTACTTCTATATCCATGTAATACCTTTATTAGGAATAATAACCCAGTTGCACACAGCAGCTTGCCCATCCCCAGAGCTCTGTCAGACCAGATGTTCCAACTAAAAAAAAAAAGGAAAAGAGATTTTAAGCAGGTTTTTTTAGGTCATGGTTCATGCTAGGAAGCACGGAAAAGGAGCCTGCGAGCATTCAAGTCCATAAGGGTGAAAGAGTTTATCAGAGAGTGGAGCTTCATATGATATGAATTACGTGTAAATTTGCCGTTTCTGTCTGTGCAAATTTTGTTCTCCCTTGTCCTCTTCCTTGAAGGCTCTTGCCTTCTGTCTTGTTCCTCTGTAGATGGCCGCCTACTTGACACTGAGGGGGTTCATAGCAAACCATAAAACAAGCTGAGATAGAAAGAGCCAGTTCCAAACTATCTGAATTTATGTTCTGGCAAAGAGCTTCTCTCTGTACATCATGTGCTGAAGTAGGTATCTCTCAAAGCATGGGTGTCTCTTTCTGTTGAAATAAATAAATGGTGTTCCCTCATAGGAGCAGAATTTGTGGGACAGGCAGTTGTTGTGCCAAAAGACCTCCTCCCATGTTCCTTGGAACCATGATTAATGGATTTTTTTTTGTATCTGCCTGTGATAACAGCGCTAACTGGAAAATGCCATTGCCTGCAAACAAAAACTCACATTAGGCAAACCCAACCTCACTAGGTACCTTTCTTCCAAATGAATGTCCACAGAACTGCAGCAGAGCCCTTCCTTGGGGTGCCCCCTTTTTGGACGGCTACCCTTCAGTTAGGCTACCTGTTTCCAGTTATTCCACCCTGATAATGATGAATTCATCCTTGTCCACATGGTTCAATGACCCCCATCCCTCTGGCTAGAAAACATATGTGTTCCTCAATCCATATTACACAGGGACTCTCGTGAAGATTTTCTTCCTGTTGAAAAAGATGTGTAAAAGGAATCAACGGGACGGGAGAGATAACAAATTTACTCAAAAGGAAGACTACTCTGAATGTAAGACAACCCCCTTTTAAAATGTCTGAAAGTGTGCCGTCAAGTTGCAAACAACTCATGGTAGCCCCATAAAGTTGCACCTCAAGGAGTTTTTAAGGCAAGAGATGAGCAGAGGTGGTTTGCCATTGCTTTCCTCTGCACAGCAACATCCTTCTTCCTTGGTGGTCTCCCATCCAAGTACTAACCATGGGTGACCCTGCTTAGCTTCTAAGCTCCGATGAGCTCAGGCCAGGCTTGGCTATTAGGGCTGCTGAAAAAATGCTACATACACAAAACAATTATTATTGGACATAACTCTAACTCATATGTGAATTTAGGATCTCCTCCTCTTTTTCTTTTTGAAACCGTACCTAAAAAAAAAACTAGTCTTGCATTTGAGTGAATACTGTATTTAATCAAATGTGATTGGACGTGTGCCACCTGTCAAGTGAGGCCCAGTTTCCATCGCTCAATTCTTTCCACCAAAATGGCTTGGCCTTTTACAGACTTGCCTCTGATTGGTTGGAAAGGAGAAGGGCTTGTTCCAGGCCATAATTTAAAAGTCTGACAGCCCAGAGATTCCGAGTGGAGCTGATGTGTCAAGCCTTCGTGATGGAATCCGTAAGTTTTCTGCAGACTGAGGGTCTGGGTAAATGTGTTTTACAGATAGGTTGACTGTACTTGATCTATGAATGTCTAAAAATACATTGTGAGCTTTGTTCTGGTTAACGGCTAGGTGGGATGGGTTGTTAGAGCTAAAACTGCTGTATCATACATAAAGCTATATGAGAGGTAACTGGGTACTTCTGAATCAAGGTGGGTAGCAGAGTTATACTCTTCCAACAACAACAACAACAACAACAACTATTATTATTATTTCTTCTTCTTCCTACTCATGTCTGATGAAGGGGACTGACTCTTGAAAGCTTATACCCTAAAACTCTTATTGATTTCTAAGGTGCTACTAGGCTTGAAAGGAGCTGCGGTGGCTCAAGTGGTTAAGACGCTGAACTGCAGGCTGTGGAAGGTCAGTAGTTCAGCAGTTCGAGACCTGGGTGTCGCATGACGGAGTGAGCTCCCATCTCTAGTTCCAGCTCCTGCCAACCTAGCAGTTCGAAAGCAAGAAATTGCAAGTAGATAAACAGGTACCACTTCGGTGGGAAGGGAACAGCGTTCCGTGCCCCTTGGTGTTTAGTCATGCCGGCCACATGACCACGGAAAACGTCTTCGGACAGCGCTGGCTCTTCGGCTTGGAAACGGAGATGAGCACCACAACCCTAGAGTCGGATTCGACTGGCTTTCGAGCAAGGGAACCTTTACCTTTACTAGGCTTGAATCTAACTGTTTTACTGCAGACCAGCATGGCTATCCTCTGAAAATATTAGTATTAGTATTGTTATTTTAGTTGAGTTTTGTTTAGTGTTTCAGGAGGTGCGAAACCTTTTCTCATTCCTCTCCAGAAAGAGCATTGGTGTCTTACCTATTTGCCCCCACACTACAGAATATCTGCCTTTCCTTAATGCTGCTTTCCCTTCCCTTCAGCAACTGATTGTCGTCAACTTGCATTCTAGAAAAAGCATCAAAGTGACGGGGAAAGTCCACTCAGAGGCAAAGAGGTTTGTATTGGTGGGCATAAACTGTGATCTGGGTAGATGTTAAGAATATATATTTGTCCCTTTTCCCAAGGAGGTTTTTTGTCATCTTCTGGGCATGGAGCAGGGGTCACTGGGGGTGGGGGGGGAGGTATTTGTGAATTTCCTGCATGGTGCAGGGGGTTGGACTAGATGACTCTGGAGGTCCCTTCCAACTCTATGATTCTAATTTTTCAGCAAATATGGAAATTGCAACCTAGGGAAGATCCTGGTTGTATCCCTCGTATTAAATGCTCAGAACTGCTTGAACCAAAACATGTCCTTTGATGTTGAAACAAGGTATCACCAATGATCTTCTCCACTGGTCAGAAGTATGAATAATAATTCTTCTGCCCTGGGTAAAGTGGCCAACTTACTATCCCCAGCTCCTTGCTTGAACTGCAAGTTGACCTACAGGCTGCAAGGCAGCAATCCCCAATCCTGCTGAGCCTTTGGGCCTTTTTGAAATTTTGATACAGGGTGGTGGGTATAGTCACAAGGCTACTGTTGCAGGCAAGAAGTCAGAAATGGTTGTGAAGCTCCAAGCCAAGTGTCTTATGATGGGGGCAGCAGCTTCTTCCAAATGGACCCAAAGCTCCTGCAAGCTTCTGAAACTCCCCTGCTCCAACGGGGAGGAGGAAAGCTTAGATTAGTTGTTGTAGATTTTCCGGGCTATATGGCCGTGGTCTTGGCATTGTAGTACCTGACGTTTCACAAGCAGCTCTGACTGGCATCCTCAGAGGCATAACACAGAAAGATCACAGAGGTATAACACAGAAAGACAGAGTACAGGAGAAACAGATGTCCTAGAATGCTATGACAACCTGCTAGGTTGCCTTTGCTCCCCAAACGCCACCCTCCCCAGGAATATCTCCCCGATCTCCAGGAATTTCCCATGTCTGCATTGGCAACCATATCTCTTAGGATTGACCATATGGAACAGTTAGTTTATGGGCTTTTTCTGTGTTGGGTCCAGTCTTCTGGAGTGGGTGCGGAGGGCTCCTTTGCTCCGTTCAGGAAGGTGTATAAGGTAGTTTTTATTTCAGAGGGCATTTGGTGGAGAGTAAACTGTTTGGGCAGATCTTAACCTTTGTGCTGTTTTTATCTTGTCACGGACTATGATTTTGTCCTTGCAATTAGTTCCTTTGTTTTAGCTGAATTCAGTCCAGGTAGACAAGGTGGGAAATAAACAGTGAAACTTGAAATAAACATAAAACTATTGGAGTATTTCCTTGAGCGGTTGGACTTAAGATCTAGCAGCTGCTGTTAAACTGGAGCACCAGTTGTGTTCTGTAACGTGTCCTTTCCTATTAGCTTTGCCCTCAACTTGGGCTCAGATGGCTCGAACTTACTGCTTCACTTCAATCCTCGCTTCGACAACCAAGGGGACTTCAGAACCATCGTGTGTAACTCTAGGCAAGATAGAGAGTGGGGCGAGGCGCAGCGGGATGATCGGTTCCCCTTCCAGCAGGGAGAAGAGGCCATGGTGAGTGGTAGAGGGAAAGGAGAGAGCAGTGGTGGCTCCAAAGCTGGGGGAGGTGTCATAGAATCATGGAATCACAGAGTTGGTTCTCCAGGCGAACTGATCTCTGTCACCTGGAGATCAGCTCTAATTCCAGGAGATCTCCAGGCCCCACCTGGAAACTGGCAACCCTAGAGAAACACAGGCTTGAATGTCCACTCTGCCATGGAAGTTTGTTGGGTGCCAAGGGTTGCCAACATCCAGGTGGTAGCTGGAGATCTCCAGACATAAGCTCACCTGGAGAAAATGGCCACTCTAGAAGGTGGACTCTATGGTATTATACCCTATTGAAGTGGTTAAGTGCGAGGACTCTAATCTGGGAGGACCAGGTTTGATTCCTCACTCCTCCACTTGCAGCTGGCTGGATGACCCTGGGCAAGCCATAGTTCTGGCTCAGCTGTCCTTGAAAAAGAGCAGTTTCTGTCAGAGCTCTCTGAGCCCCACCTACCTCACAGCGTGTCTGTTGTGGGGAGGGGAAGGGAAAGGAGTTTATAGGCTGCTCTGAGACTCTGAGTGAAGGGTGGGATATAAATCCAATCTCTTCTTCTTCTTCTTCCTCTCCCCAAACCCTGCCCTCTTCAGGTTCCACTTCCCAAATCAGGTATTTCCCAGCCCAGAGCTGGCAACCCTCTGGGTGACTTAAGGGGCCAGTCACACCCTCTCCTGCTAAGGTGCCACCCAGGGTTGTTGCTGTGAGGTTAAAATGGAAGAAAGGAGACCAGTGTTGTAAGCCTCTTTGGGTCACCACTGGGGAGAAAAGCAGGATAGAAGTATCTAAATAAAATGTCAGGTTACTATATTTATTACAATATTCAGGGCTATTTTTGGGCAGGAACGCACAGGAACAGAGTTCCGGCTGGCTCCTGAGTTGGCCACACCCAGCAGGACCTCATTAGCATAATAGGCCACGCCCAACAGCAGAAACTCATTAGGATTGGCTACAGTAGGCATGTGTGGCCTAACTTGCAAAGGAGTCCCTGCTACAAAAAAAAGCCCTGGGTTTTGACAACAAACAAGGTAAACAGAATAAGAAGCAAAAGGGGTGTGTGGCTGGATGACCACATTTCTGGCAACACGGGGCTGCGGCCTAATATGCTAATTAGCTGTGGTGTCAGGGTATGGCCTAATATGCTAATAACGCGTTTCAGCTGTTGGGTGTGGCCTATTATGCTAATGAGTTCCTGCTGGGCTTTTTCTACAAAAAAAGCCCTGACAATATTTGTATGCTGCCTTTCTAGTCAGTCAGGGCCACGGAGGCAGCTAAGGTTAGACTTCCAGAGGAACTGATTGGCCACTCTGTGAGACAGGATGCTGTACTAGATGAACCATTGCCCTGACCAAGCAGGGCTCTTCTTATGGTCTGTTTGTATGATTGGTCCTGTTGCTCCTTCAGCTCTTGGCTGGTCTTAAATCTCTTTCTATCTCATTTGTTGCTATCTGTGGAGTATAAAGACATGACCTGTTGTGACTCCTCCACAGAATCCTGGAAGTATACATTGCCATACTTCCTGTTGAGGGGAAATGGCCGCTAGAATTAACTGACCAGACAAAAAGATGCTCCTGAGGTAGAAGTCCATGTGGTGTGATCGCCAGCCTCCAGGTGGGATCTGGGGATGACAGCTCATCTCCAGACTACAGAGATCAGTTCCCCTGAAGAAAATGGATACTTTGGAGGGTGGACTCTGGCATTGTCCCCAACAGAGGTCCTTGTCCTCCCCAGGCCCCACCCCAAAATCCCTAGGAGTTTCCCAATCAGGATCTGTCAACTATCCATCCCCTGCCAGTGGCCATGGGAGACCCAGCCATATCATCTTAAAATGGTACCCTGAGTTGGGCCCACACCTTCCATCTCTAGGATGGTGGAATAGTGCTACCACCTCTCCTGATAACTGCTGTGGGTTGACTCCGTCCTTGATCTTTCTCTCTCAGATCTGGATCTCCTTTGATGCCAAAAATATGACAGTGAAAATGTCTGAAGAGCATGAGATCAAGTTCCCCAACCGCCTTGGGCTGGAGCGCATAGAATTCCTCTCAGTGGATGGTGACTTCAAGGTCCAGTCTATCAAGATTGACTGACTTCCTTTGTGCTAGCCTCTCACTCTGTCCTGATAGGAGAATTGAGTCTGCAAATAAATTCACACCTGCTTCTTGACATCAGTCTGAACTTGTCTTGTTTCTAGGCTCCTTGGTCTTGCTGTTCTCATTCAAATCTCCGTTTTGATGCTAGCTTTATTTATCAAGCTATTCCTTAGCAGGGAGTTCTGATCTTTTTGTTGTTGTTGATCAGTCGCACAGTCGAGTCCGACTCTTTGCGACCCCATGGACCACATCACGCCAGGCCCTCCTGTCTTCCGCCGTCCTCCGGAGTTTGCTCAATTTCATGTTCGTTGCATCGATAACACTGTCTAACCATCTCATCCTTTGCCGTCCCCTTCTTCTTTTACCTTCAATCTTTCCCAGCATCAGGGTCTTCTCCAGTGAGTGCTCCCTTCTCATTTGGGGGTCAAAGTATTTGAGCTTCAGCTTCAGTATCTGGCCTTCCAGGGAACAGTCAGTGCGCGTGCACATACACCCTTCTGTCACTTTCCATTTGTTGTTTCTCGTTTACTCCGAGTTTCTTTTTAAGGCTGTTCTGTCTGTTCTTTGGGCCAATGTCTTATAGGGTTGCCAGCTCTGGCTTTGGAAACACCTGGATATTTGGGGGTGGAGCCTGAGGAGGGCGGGGTTTGGAGAGGGGAGGGACTTCAATATAATGCCATAGAATCCACCTTTCAAAGTGGTCATTTTCTCAAGGGGAACTGATCTATGTCACCTGGAGATCAGTTGTAATCCCAGGAGATCTCCAGCCACCCCCTGGAGGTTGGTATCACTACTGTCTTAACAGAGTCGCTTCTGAAACATGGCCTCGGAGTAATGCCAATAGCCCTTCTCAGAAGGTAGGAGGGAGGCAGATTGGACTATAGGATGAATTTACAGCCAACAACCGTTGTGGGTGTTTTGTTGGGCTTCATTTGTAAGGTTAGAAAAGCTGGGAGCTGATTCTGCCAGAATGATACACACAAACGTAACTCTAATTAGCCATGTTCATCTGAGCATAGGAACAATGCTGGATCAGGCCTCATAGTGCCTAACAAAGAGTCCCGTAGTCCCTTAAAGACTAACAAAATTTGTGGCAGGGCATGAGCTGTGGTATCTGAAGAAGGGAGCAGTGACTCACAGAAGCTCCTCCCCACCACAAATTTTGTTAGTCTTTAAGGTGCCACTGCACTCTTGTTCTTTTCTACAGCACTGTGTTGTTATATCGCTTAGCTAAGGTGTTGAAATAAGATTGGTGATGGGGGTTAGGCCCATTGTTTTCCTCCATGCTGTGTATTAGAGAGAGCAGTCTACAGTAAAGATTGTATGAACAGGGAAGAAGACTTGAAGAGTGTTTACAGGGTTGAATCTGAGGCTGAGCTGCAAAAGTTGAAAACATCCCGTCGAAATCTGAGCTTCCCCACCCCCTGCTTTTTCATCCTGAGCTAATGTAAAGAAAAGCCAGGGTTTTTATCTCTGGCATGCCAAATTGGGTGGAGTGCATAGGAGACAGATCCAGTGGCCTGGGCTTCACTTGGGCCTGAAGGTGTTTAGTACAGCATGTATGAAACACCCTGAAATCCCTGGTGGCTGTTGTTGATATCCGATAATCCCAGCCCAAAATTCTTTGATATTGCCTGTGTTAAGTTTGATTACTAAAAGCTGCATCCATTTTGGTGTACAAACTGTGAGCATCTTTCTCTTTACTAGCTTATGTATCCAGAGACCCTGAATTCCAATTAAAAAAATAATAATCTAGCAACACCTTAAAAACGGACTTGTATTCCAATGTGAGCTTATATGGGTCAATATTTATTTACAAAATGCATACATCTACAAATAACAATGTAAGATGCTTGTATCATCAAAGTCCCTCAAATGTAGGCGTATCTTTGTGAACGCCCGTGGTTTTCTACTACAGCAATTTCAGAGTAGATTGTTGTGGCAGACAGAATTTTTGCACTGAATTCTGTTATGATCGTTCTAGTTTCCCATGTTTTCATATAGCTTATCAGCAATTTCTGTGGTATTCATATTTCATACACAGGGTTTTTTTTGGAGGGTTGTCTTTTAATTTCATGGCTGCAATCACCGTCTGCAGTGATATTGGATCCCAGGAATGTGAAGTCTGTCACTGCTTCCATGACTTCCCCTTCTATTTGCCAAGGAGTGATGGGGCCAGATGCCATGATCTTGTTCATCTTCCAACATTTGGTGAGCTATCCCATCCCATGGCAGCCATTTTGTGATGGTAGCCACTCACTCATCAAATTTCCAAATTCAGGAACTTCTGTCTCCACTCCGGTTTGGGAGTGGGAATATCTTCAGCAAATCTCGCCACATTACACCTCTCTATCCCCTCAACAGAAACCTTTAAAAGGAAAGCTTCTGCACCAGATTTGTATTCCATTAAATAATTTGCCCTCCTGAAGAACAAGCCAGTCATTTTTGAGAAATGCAGGCATTTAATTGAATAAATGAGCAAGAAAGGAAGCCTTCCTTTTAAGAACACTGTGTCAAAGATTCAAGAGCTGTGCTGACTAGGCAGATGGGAACTGCTCCCAGACGGCCTGATCTTCTTGCTTTTCTATCCCCCCTCCCTGTTTGAGGCCTGTTATGACCTGGGCTGTGCAACTAGAGGCCTAGTAGGCCCAGGGAGCCTGAGTAGCAGTGGGAGGAGGCCAGGCCTACAACTCCCAGAAGTCCCTGAGAGGTTCTGGCACCAATTTTAGCCAATCACTGAGAAAGGGGACTTATAATAAAAGACCTGGTACAGAAGAAGAGCTGTTCTTTCTTCCAAGAGCAGGGCCAGAAGGCTGCTGCATGGGAGAGACCCCTCATCCTGAGAGGAAGGGTGAGCAGTTTGAGGTCCACTTGAGACAATGAGCTAGAGACAGTAAGTCTAGACACGTTAGGGCATTTGGTTTCTTTACCCCTTCACCCACTTATTGTAATTGCTCTTGTACCTTGTTTGTTTCCCCTGTTGGGGCTGACCTCCTGTAAAAATAAACCTTTTCTTTGTTCTTTACTCTGCTTGAAGGTCTGAAGGTCTTGGGAGGGTGTTCTGGGCCTTCTCTAGGGATCCTAAAACCAGAGTGGTGGCAGCATTGGGTGACACCCTACTTGAGCTGTGACAAGGCCATATAAAATAGTTCTCTTTTTAAACTCTGATCCCCCATAGGAGGATCCTGCCTCAGCCACAGTAAGAAGAGATCCTCCAGGAGTATAAAGATCTGGCTTAGAATGTCCCCCAGAGGTCATTATAGAGATTCTGGAGAGCAGATGAAAAAAAGTCAAAAGCACAAGAGAGAGGAAAGGACACTGGAACAGCTATATTTGGAAACTGCCATGCCCACTGAAAACAATGACACACACACACACATCAGAGAATACGCAAGATACTTGAACTCCAGGCATATCTTTATTGGGGGGGACATAAAAACTTGAAAGGTTGAATTGTCACCCATCACAAAAAATTTAAAGGCAGAAAAGCCCCACTTGAGCTTCACATAGTGTTCTGCCCCCCCCCCCCCCGCAAGTTTTCAAGAGGAGAATCCAATTTTGTAATAAAAGGAGAGACCCGGAATCCAATTTCCCTTGGGGTGTTTGTGCAGGGTTGCTGTACCCTTTTAGCCTTTCTTGCCCCACAGATGCAAAACTCTATGGTCTGCAAATGGGAAACAGAAGTGCTGCTGAAACCCATTAAGATGGTAGAACCTAGTCTGAAAACCCTGCAGCTACAAAGAAATGGCTAAAATATCACCTCTTTCCACCCATCATTGTGAGGACTCCCTTCAAGAGCAACATGTTAATGAGCTGTCTGACTCAAGAAAGAAATAGGGACGGAGTGCCTCCCCAGAGAATGAGGTTGAAGGGAAAGCAAAGAGTCTTTCCTTTATCTCTACAGAAAAAAATTCCACACAACCTTTTTCATAGTTCAGGGACACCTGGATCTTTTGTAGATTGCTGGCAGGTAAAGTGACTGACTGAGAGGAAGTCAAAGCAGACATCTGCCAGGACCCATAATAATCAGATTTTTTTGCCTGCACAATCCAGAATCCTTCATCAGGATTAAGGGTGATTTTCCCCTTCCTCTTCACAGACTCTCTAGCAACACCCACAGCCCACGATGCCGGTCTATTCCCCACTGTCACCTCCCAGCAGTGTCTTCCTGAGGTGAATTTCTCACGGCCCAGAACACTTTGTAGGGTATCAAATCGCTCAGGGTTGTCAGGGTGGTTTTTCTTCCTGCTTTCCCATTGCACGCTCTTCACATCTGAAGACAGGAGGAGTTGGGGATGGGCTGTCTCTTGATCTAGAGTCACATTCACTGCAGAAAAGGGTGAGGGGAAGGAATAGCTTAATGGAGAGGAGTATCAGTGAAAGAGTTGATGTAATGTGTTGAAGGGTGACTCAGAAAATCCCCCTCTCTGCAGGCCCAGGAAAGAGAAGCAGCATCACTCCCACAGGAAGAGGACTGCACTGTCTGAGGAAGGCACCTGAGGCCCATTTTGCAATCCAGCTGCTGAGAGAGAGAGAACAGCTCGCTTCATACACCAGCGGCTGAAAAGCAAATCTCAGCTTGCCTCATACTTGTCCGGGTCTCAGACCTGTAAGTCTGGAAGATTCCTGATACTAGAGCTGAGGAGGGAGACCCCCTGCATGGCAGCCAACTCCACTTCGTTTTGCCGTCAAGTCCCAGCTGACTTACGGCCACCCTGAGGAGTTCTGAAGGCAAGAGACAATCAGAGGTGCCACTGCCTGCCTCTGCGGTGCAACCCTGGACTTCCTTGGTGGTCTCCCATCCAAATACTGGCCAGGGCCAGCCCTGCTGAGCTTCTGAGACCTGATCAGATCAGGCTAGCCTGGCCCATCCAGGTGAGGGCAGCTTACCTTTGCAGACAGGAAGTCATTATAGAGCTAAGGGGGGGGGGGGGTGAGTTCGGGGGCTCTGGCCCTGAGCCACTCCACCAGCTCTCCTCCACCTGTCATCCCCTCGTTCTTACAAACGATCTTAACCCTTGTTGGGATCTCCCACTCCCCGTGAGAGTCTTGTGGCAGGG